AGAGAGCGCTCAGAGGGGCACGCCCACCCACCCTCGTCCCTAATCTCCCCTCCCACTGCCACCAAACTCGATCGTCTGCCCCTCGTCCGCGCCGCCAGAGTTCAGTTCACTACTCAAGGCTTCCCGCGCGGCCCCAAGCTCCAAGTTCTTTCCACGAGGCCATAAACACTGCTCAAAGCTCTCCCCGCGAATGGCTGTTGCGCGAGGGAACACACGTTGAGGGTCCAAGCGAGCCGCATGCGCGACGGTATTCGCAAATGACGAAAGATACCAAACCCATGCGCAGCTTTCCAAAGTCATCTCAAAACATGGGCACGCCATCCGGGAAGCCATTTAAGATTCCGAGCGCTCAACACCAAGCACGACACGAAAGAAAATGGTCCTGAATTGATCTCAATGGCATCTTTACTTATTTCCATTCTCTCTATCGGTAACATAGTACTACAGAATTTCTAAACAATAAATTCGTGGAAGATATAGGTGATCTCGTGACGAAAACCTATTTTCACCCAATAACAGTCAGCCAGGCATTACTGTTAAATATGCCAACTTATTTTTCTCCTATTGATTTTGAATGAGATTTCATAAGATATTAAATGTCATGTATTACTAAATTACGAGTTGACGAATGGCGTATTTTCGATGATAGAGATGGAATGTTAATTATTCCTAAAAGTTGCACGACATGTTTCTTCATTAGTTTGCACAGAAACCAAGAGAAAAGTATTCGGAGGTAATGAAACTCGATTGAGAGCTCAGAAAATCAGTAAGATATTTTCAGTTCAGTGATTTCCTCATGAGAATATGCAAACCTCCATCAGTGAAAGAGAACTGAGCCGATGAGAGAGGACATTGTGCTATTCTCAGCTCTAAAACTCAAAATTGTGACATATAACATCTCTCACTGACACATTCAATTAAAAAATACATAAATAAGTGTAACACAGGACGAATCATTTGATACTGTAAAAAACACAAAAGTATGTCCCTTACAATACAAACAAATAATACTAACCAAGACGTTTTTTTGACTTGCGGTTACCAATGTGTGAACAGTTCCTTTTGCCCTAAAAGGAATGCAATTCAATGATAAGAAAACTTTATTATTGTTTGCAGTCACAGCATTGTATATCTAGGTTTTTATACATTTTCCCACATTTTGCTTCACAAAGTTACCACTCGACAAGCAGCAAGGGCGCTCTACACCCCAGCTCTACAACGTACTAGAGCACGACAACCGTCACGGGGCAAACAATAAGTTGCTATAACATTTTTTTAAAGAATGCCACGCGTGTGTCTAATAAAATAGTCGGCCTCAATACTGTGTGTAATATAAGCGTAATTACAGATACAAACGCTCTTTAATTGAGAAAACAACATTATTAAATAGACATTTAAAAACAATTTAAAACAAAAACAAACATTTAAAAACATTTTTAAATAATTCGGATCTTGGCTGGCCCAAAGGATGGAGGGAAGTTTTCCTCCAAGAATGCAGTCATTAAAGTAACTTAAATCAAATAAAATGTTGCTCTTTTCGATAAAAGTAGGGCTAAAGTATATGAAAATAAAATAAAATTTAACTCTTGATAAAATAGGCCTGGAATATGCGAGAGGAATATAAGGAATGTGAACTGCCTCCGATTCTCCTCCACGCACTAGAACGCGGAGAAGCTAAAGGTCACGTGAAAATACATTATACAGGCAATATAGGCAATTTCGACCGCAAATAAGATTACCCTATATTGATGTAAAGAAAGAGCGGCAGAATGAATGCAGTTTTGATGAAATTCAGGGTAAGGAAGGGAGGTGACTTTTACTCGACATTGATGTAATTTGCACCTGTAATGGAGCAGGAATGGATGAAAGCATAGCTTTTTGCAGAGAACAGTCACGATTTTATCTATATATATGGAGATCGTTTCACATCATACTTTTTATGCTTACATTAAATGAAATCTATACAAAGCGTTTCTCTTGAAAATCATCGATGTACACTTTGTAAGTGTAGATTTACATATAAGAAAAGGAAATCTAGAAATTAATAAACAAAATGAGGATGGCAAGATATAAGACCGAAGGGTGTCAACATCATCAATTACATATTTAGTGATTAATTTGCTCTTATTTATAATTACTTTGATTGTGGTCGCAAAATTGGAAATGTGGATTGCCTACACAGCCTTGTTTTAGAGTCGCAATACGTGCACGTTTTTAATATTTTCCTACATCAATACTAAAAATGGAAAAAATATTAATATGTATAACATAAATGTACCACAGTAATAAATTTCTGGATTGCAAAACTTCGCTTCAAGTGTTCCTATGACTATCTATGAACTGTCTGTTCCAAGAAAATTCAAGGGAAACTACGTTTATAATATATAAACATGACGCGTTAATTACATTAACAGAACCGAAACATAAATGTAACTCAAAAAAAACTACCATTTAACTTCCAAATACAATCTTTAAATTTTCTCGTGAAATACAGATATATAACTTATTATAATATTAGGCGATTTTACCTTGTTTCGTTGCAGCATTCACTGCAACGCTCTCTACTAAGTATCCCAACGCCATTTTATATTTGGAAAATACGGGATGTATTGCAAGAAATATAACTATTTCTTGTGTCATCCTATTTCCAAAAAAATAAACTTCAGATGCTCAACAGCACATACTTTTTCGCATTATTTCTAAGTTTTCGATTTTCGAATATTCAGAGAATTCAACGAAAATTAGACCCATGCCAATCTTTCAAGCATCTCTTTTTCTATCAGTAGAAAGCCTATATTTTGCACCAAATTACAGGAAAATTACAAATATTTTCGAAAAATTGAAACTGAACTTTTTTAAAGATTCGTCTTCAAGCCACAGATTTCAATAAGAAAAAAAAATCTTTATCTTCAATATTACAGTTGTAGAAAGACGCCCCAAACACATTGCACTAATTCAATTTTCAAATAATCTTCGATTTAAACGAACATGAGTCCTTCACCATTCTCGTAAATTTTCTTTACGCTATCTGAAGACAAAGTTTGATCAAAAAATTGATGCCATTTTCGAGAAAATTTTGAAAAATGTATTTGAAGCTTCGTGTAAATTATCCTCAAAAATCAAATTATTTGTTTGAAACCCTACAGCCTCAAATTCATTTTGATTCATCATTGAGACAGACGGACAAACAGATGGACGTTTTGCTCTCAATAAATTTTTCCGTATCAACAGAACATTCAACACCGTATCCACAAAACTGGATTCCGTTTACACCAGGTGTTAGAGGATTTTTCTAGATTTAGGAACAGGATCTATCCACTTTTTCGTTACCAGAACCCGGCACTAAGAGTTTTTCTGCCGAAAATTCGCTGTTTTTCGGAGCATACATAACTTTCACTTCTTATGAAGTAGCTT